CGGGGAGCCTGCTTCCTCCTCTCTTTCTGCCTGCCTCTCTGCCTACTTGTGATCTCTGTCTGTCAAATAAATAAAATCTTTTAAAAAAAATGTTATCTTTTAGAAACTAGCAGATTTTGGGGCCCTGGGTGGCTCAGTGGGTTGAGCCGCTGGCTTCGGCTCAGGTCATGATCTTGGGGTCCTGGCATCGAGTCCTGCATCGGGCTCTCTGCTCAGCAGGGAGCCTGCTTCCCTCCTTCTCTCTGCCTGCCTCTCTGTCTACTTGTGATCTCTCTCTGTCAAATAAATAAATAAAATCTTTAAAAAAAAAAAAACTAGCAGATTTTGAAACTTTAAACGGGTGGTAATCTAATCAGTGGTTGTATGGGAGCACATTACTTAAGACCTTAGCCATTCACTTTCCTTTTGTAAACATATCTGGCAAACTTAACTGAATACTGTTCTTTTTTCCCTTTTTACTAGTCAAATATTCAATAGTCAATATTTAATATTTAATAGTCAAATTCAGATCAAAATATTGAGTTTCTCTCACTTCTCTCCCTTACCCAACTTTGCACACCTATTACATGCAAGGCAAAACAAACAGTTCTGTTTTCTGTTTAACTGGTTTTTGGTTTTATTTTGGCAGCACCTTATTCCAGCAGCAATAATATTTGCTAATAGGTCTAAGTAGGAATACTTACATTATGATAGAGATACTGGGTTCCTTAAATTACTGCCAATTCTTAATTAAATGAAGTTGTAGAGAGCAGTAGAAATACAGTGAACAACATCAATATCTTTTTATTTAGTGTTGGAATTAATTTTTATACTTCTCTTTGCATATAAATCCTTGTGTCCAACATCCTGTCCCTAAAATAAACAAACTTGTTTTAGTAGAATATGTAATTTTGACATTTAGAAGTAAGAAGTATCTCTGATAATCTAAAGAGGGAGAGTGTATTTTCTAAAGGGGGAGAGTGTATTTTCCTTCTCTGAAACATTCAAGAATTATGTATTCTGGGGAGAGTACTGGTTAACAACAGTAACTAACAGTATAGCATTTCTTGAACATCATCTCATTCTCTTGTGGACATAAAAATTGTATTCCCAGTTATGATCAAGCAATCTAAACACAAAATAGAAAGAATGCCTGGCTAAAATCACATCTTACTTTCTCAGTTACACTGTGAATATTCAGAGTACAAAAAAAGTGGGGCCATTAAAAAATAAGTAAATCCACTAGAATTTCTTTTAAATTGAACACATGACCTTTACAAAATAACTGATTATTAAAGTATACATCATCACAAATTAGAAACTTAACACTGGGGGCGCCTGTGTGGCTCAGTCAGTTAAGCATCTGCCGTTGGCTCAGGTCATAATCCCAGGGTCCTGGGATCAAGCCCCCCATCAGGCTCCCTGCTAAGCAGGGAGCCTGCTTCTCCCTCTCCCACTCCCCCTGCTTGTGTTCCCTCTCTTACTGTCAATCTCTCTGTCAGATAAATACACAAAATGTTTAAAAAAAAAAAAGTTCACCTTGAGTTAGGTACTGAAATATAATGCTTGAAATAAATGCACAGTTACTTTAACCTAATTTTACAGACTGGTGGCAGAATTCCCTGCAACTGGAGGAATAATTACTTCATGGCAATTTTACTCTGTGAAGCTCCTCAGATATGTTAGCTACTATGATTATATTATTGCTTCCTGTGAGATCACATTTTGTATTTTTCTTATTGTCTTCACAACACAAGAAGGCCAAAAAATAAGAGAATTTAAGTCTGCTTATTTCAAAAGTGTCTGGAACTGGCTAGAATTACTACTTTTGGTGGTAAGTATACATTCATATGTATGATTGGAGGGAATCACATCTGAACCCACCAATGAGAGAGGTATAAAAAGCAAAATTTTCTACTCATTTGGCAACTAGCTGAGGAGCAGCTCCTTACCTCCCCAAGTCCACCCCAACCCCTCAGCTCTTCTGGAGCTCTGCTGGTACAAGTTAAAAAGCTGCAAGTATCCTTTAAAAAAGGAGCTGTCATAGGGCATACTAATGGTATGCTTCCAAAAGTAAGTCTATCCCCCCCCCATTTGGTCCTTGAGAGAACCAGCATAAAGTTAGAATAGGTAATTCTATAGGTATTATGATTTTAAGTGCACAGTAGGTCTCTCCTCCCTCAAAATAAATGTGTTTCTTATAGGGCTTCATGTTGAAAATCATAATTACTTTTGGACATGTACTCTTCTTTTATGTTGCCTCTCTGTTTTCTTCCTCACACTGAGTTTTGAAAGAACATGCAAAATCAAGCCTAGGAAGAATACTGAAAGGGAGGCTAGGGAGCAGTGAGCAGCTAGGCATAGAGAACACCAGGACTGGGAAGATAGTCTCTGAAATAAATTCCAAAAACTGCCAGTTCTCCTCACTGGAAAGAACTAAAATAAACAGAGAGGTTGGCGGGGCAGGACAAATGGTAAGAACTTGGTCTTAGGAATGATGAACAAACACTTCCAGCTTATATACCCTTACAGACTCTTAGTCATAGCCAGTCCAGGATATAAGTCTTTTTTCCCAAAACCAGATTAAAAGTTTCTCAGAGTCAAAAAAAAAAATTTTTTTTTTTCTCAGAGTCAGGAAACGTGCCACCTACCTCTCTGGTTTCCCCAGTAATACTTAACATACAGCATAACATTGAACTACCTGAGCACTTCAGGCAAAGGAAGTTGAAGGACGATTTTCATGACAGAAAGCTGTGATACCTGACATAACCTGGTTCTGAAATCCTCTTCTGGAAGAGTTGTCAGAGGGTTCTCAAAGGGCTTATTTTTGTGTCACTGAAAAAAAATTTTTTTTAGTGTTATGTGGTAGAAAATACTAAACTTTTTAAGTACCATGTATGGGAAGTGTTGAACTATTATACTGTACACCCTGAAACTAATATAACACTATATGTTAACTACACTGGAATTATAAATAAATACATAAATAAAAATAAACTTATAGGTATCCTGTAGTTACATGGAGCAGAAATGCAGCCTTGTCAGAATAATCATTTTAGACATTTGTGCTTTATGACTCAAACAGGCAAATAGATTAGGATAGTCAAATGATCAGTATTCCTGTACTTTTGTGATCATTCTTCTATCTTAAACTTCTTTAAGTTGAGTTTGACTTCCCTTCACTTAAAAACCTATGCCTTCATTCTTCTTCCCTTTCTGTTAAACTTCTGATGAACTTTTTCCTGTGTCTGTTCATAGGCTGCAGGACATTCAGAAGTAGAAATTGTCTCTAATTTAATCTTTCTTATTTTCCCATTTAGTTGTGTTTTTTGACTGTTTCCTTCAACATATACTGTAACGTACAAATTTTTCTCTTACTTGGAGACCTGTTAAAAAATACCGATCAATATTCAGACTTCTATTTTCTTGCATACTGGCACACTTACTACAACAACATAATTGCTGTCACCATCTTTTTTGCATGGATAAAGGTACTTACACTTTATTATATTAAGAGCAGCAGATTAGATATATAGATATATAGAGATACATATTTAGATAGCAAAATGGGAACTAAAGCTGTAAAGTTATGGGGGGGGGAGGATTTTCTTAACTATGAAGTAGTTTTAAAATAGGTTGGCCTTGCAATGATTGCAGGCAAATCCTCAAACACTCCTATCATCAACACTTCCTTTAATTGGAAGCAAATTTTTTCTGAAATTAATTTAACTTATCTAAGTAATTATATTATTCTGTTTTAATTAACGTTGTTCTTTTTCAGATATTCAAATTCATAAGTTTTAATAAGACAATGTCTCAGCTGTCATCAACCTTGTCCCGCTGTATCAAAGACATAGTAGGATTTGCCATCATGTTTTTTATAATATTCTTTGCTTATGCTCAGTTAGGATTTCTTGTTTTTGGATCACAAGTTGACGACTTTTCCACTTTTCAAAATGCCATGTAAGCTGTTAGAGTAAATGTAATTATATGTACTAGTTTATAAGAAAAAAAATCATGAAAAGGCCTACAATAAGTAGTAACACATATTTTAATAAATTCAAACTTGGTTTTATGTTTTCACTGATAGAAAAATACCTGGCATACTTAAAGTAGTGTTTAGCATTAAAAGATCCCAATGGATAATGCAGTCCATTTTTTAAATGGTAAGAGGTCGAGTTAGAAAAATAATTTTTCATTTTTCGTTGGTAAGAATTTTACCAAATACAACAGAAATAGGCCTCTATGTCTCTGTGATATTTATTGTCTGGAGAAAAGAAAGTTTAAATGTTTTTCTTTAAGAGCTCTACCTTTAGAATCCTTTTATCATATTCACCTGATTGTCCTTTGCTGATCTGGCAAAGCTGTGTATTAAAAATATTTTTATATGCGTAAAGCAATCAGCAGGCAACAAACTTACACAGCAGATCAGGTAGAATCCTTAGAAAAGTGTTCAGTCTTTTTTTTTTTTTTAATGAATAATTTAAATAAATTCACTCTCCTTTTTGGGTAGATAAAATAAGTTGTGTGTGTGTAAGAAAATTATGATAGTCTGAAATATCAATTCTCAAAATATGTTCTGTGTAACTTAGACCAAGACTGGTGGGAAATGGCTTCATATTAAGTAAGTTTTTGAAATTTTACATCACTCTTTTGAAAATTTACAGTGCATGTTAACATATGGCCCTGAGAAAAACTGCAATAACTTTCTTAACTTTAGTGAAGAATTCCCCAAACTTGTCCATGCCCTTTTCCTTGAGTTTGAGAGAACTCTGGTCAAAGGAAATGTCTTAAGTTGCTTTTTACCATCCACATGAATATATTTGAAGTGCCAATTCTAAGAAATTTCATAATATTTGCTGAAATAAACCTTTATTAATCAGTCATGGAAAGAAGCGTGGACTAGGAACCAAGAGGATATAGTTCTACTTTCCACTTCTGCCGCTAGCTATTCAAATTTTCTAGACCTTTATTTCCTTATCTGCAAATGAAGGAACTGGACTAAGTTACTCCCAAAGATTCCTTCCAATATCAAACAGCCTACAATTTGAGAAGTCTAATTAGCTTTCTCTTGAGTAAATTATGTTTGCAGTTCCAACAACTTCTTGGTCCTTTCTTAGGATCATAATTCAAGTGTCACTTACTAATAAAAGTAGTATTGGACATTGAATATAAATGTTGTAATTTACAGAACTTGGAAATTGGTCTTACCCTAGATAGTGGGAAGAAAGGAAGTATAAGAATGAACAGGTAGACAACTTTGGAATACATTAATGAAGGGACTTCTGCTTTTGGTAATGATGTGCTAGGTTATTCAGATCAACCTCCTCTTCAAGACAATTTAAAAAGCTAGGTGAGGGGTGCCTGGGTGGCTCAGTGGGTAAAAGCCTCTGCCTTCAGCTCAGGTCGTGGTCTCTGGGTCCTGGGATGGAGCCCTGCATGGGGCTCTCTGCTCAGCGGGGATCCTGCTTCCTCCTCTCTTTCTGCCTGCCTCTTTGCTTACTTGTGATCTCTGTCAAATAAATAAATAAATAAATAAAATCTTTAAAAATGAATAAATAAAAATAAAAAGCTAGATGAAATACAGATAACGTTGAAGAACTAACCAATAAGTGGACCAAAACCAAAAGGCAAGACCCCAGAGAAGCAAGTTCAGCATCCAAGGCTTCTTTTGCCCTGAAGGCTTTTTTAAAAGTTTATAAGGATTTTTTTTAAAGATTTTATTTATTTATTTGACAGACAGAGATCACAAGTAGGCAGAGAGGCAGGCAGAGAGAGAGGAGGAAGCAGGCTCCCCGCTGAGCAGAGAGCCCGATGTGGGGCTCGATCCCAGGACCCTGAGATCATGACCTGAGCCAAAGGCAGAGGCTTTAACCCACTGAGCCACCCAGGTGCCCCAAAAGTTTATAAGGATTTTTTATTGTGTTAAAATATACATAAAATTTACCATCTTATCCATTTCTAAGTGTACAATTCAGTGAGAATTAAGTACATTCATACTATGCAACCATCACCACCATCCATCTCCAGAACTCTTTTCATCTTGTAAAACTGAAACTATGCCCATTAATCAAGAATTCTCCACTTTACCCTTCCCCAGCCTCTGGCAACCACCATTCTACATTTTGTCTCTTTCTCTTTTGATTTTCATTAACTCTAGGTGCTTATGGGATCATACAGTATTTGTCTTTTTGTGACTGATTTATTTCACTTAGTATGTCTTCAGGATTCATCAATGTCATGCAATATGTCAAAATTTCCTCCCTTTTTAAGGTTGTATACATTGTACGTATAAGTCTCATTTTGATTATCCATTAATCTGTTGATGGCCATCTGGACTTCTTCCAAGTCTTAGCTGTTATGAATAATGCTGCTATGAACATGGGTGTACAAATATTTCTTCAGGGCTCTGCTTTCAATTCTTTTGGGTATACATGCAGAGGTGGAATTGCTGGATCATAAGGTAATTCTAATCTGAATATTTTGAGGAAATGCCATACTGTTTTCTGCAATGGCTGCATCATTTACATTCCCACCAACAGTGCACCAGGGTTTCAATTTCCTCACATCTTCATAACACTTGTTATTTTCTGGGCTACTTTTTTTTTTTTTAATAGTAGCCATCCTAATGGATGTGAGGTGATACCTCATTGCAGTTGTGATTTGCATTTCCCTAATGGTTAGTAATACAGAGCATCTTTTCATGTTCTTATGATATGTTGGTCTCTCGATGGTGTCCCAGAGGTTCTGTTCACTTTTCTTCAATCTTTTTCTTTTTCTCAGACTTCAATCATCCTATCCTTACGTTCACTGATTTTTTTTCTTCTGCCTGCTCAAATACGCCTCTGAATCCCATCAATGAAATTTCATTTCAGTTATTGTATTTTTCAGCTCTACAATTCCTTCTTGGTTTCTTTTGAGGTTCTCTATCTCTTTATAGATATTTCTATTTTGTTCATAAGTCATTTTCTTTTTTTTTTCATAAATCATTTTCTCGACTTTCTCCATGTCTTTTATGTTTAGTTCTTTGAACATCTCTAAGATGGTTGTTTAAAGTCTTTAGTAGGTTTGCCATCTGGTCTTTCTCAGGGATATTTCTGTTGGTTTATTTTTTTCCTTCGATTGGATCATAGTTTCCTACTTCTTTGTATATTGTTCTTTCTTCTTATTGAAAACTGGACATTTGAATGTAGAATGTGATAACCCTGGAAATGACATTCTTGCCCTTCACCAGAGTTTCCTGTTTTTGTTTTTTTGTTTATTTTTATTATTGTATACTGTCTTCATGCAGGATCAGCCTGAAGCGTAAAGGTCTTCTTAGGTCTTTTCTGAGACTGCACCTTTCCTTGGGGATGCAGGTGACAGTCTAACTTCCTCTGTATATGCGTTACTTTTGAGGTCTTTAATGTCTGGCACCCAAAAGGGGAAAAAGAGAAAAATGAAGGAAGTGGGAAGGGCACGAGCCTTTAATCCCAAGGACATTAATTCAGCAAGAGGGAGAGGGACTTGCAACAGACAGCGGAACAACTTTCTGCACTCTTATGATCAGAAGAAGCAATCAGCAATCAGAACACAGACCCCTAATGCTTGGAGAACATAACCTGATTGCCCACCCTTGCTCCCACAAGTTGCATGCAAGCTGCTCCAGGAATACACGCATGGCTCCCTGCCATGGGCTGGGGGGTGGCAGACGGGTAGCTTTTCCAAACTAAAACCTGGAATTGACCAAAGTTGTCTAAGCCTTCCCCTGGCAGTTGCAAGCCTTAAATAGACTCTAGAATTCCAAAACAGTTACATCAGACAAATTCTGCCTATGTCATTGCTGTCTAGGTGGGGAGACATATTCCAAATGTTTCTTACCCCCACACCCTCCCCAAACCCTCCACCATGAAGGCATTTTTGATGATCTAGAGAAATAGTCAAGGAAATGTGTTTTTGGCTACTTCTCCGGGAGAAGATAGAAGGCAAAGTCCAGGACTTACATGGGGAGAGAGGACGGGAGGGCTTGTCTGATAATCTCTGCACACATCAGGCAAGGAAACTTCAATTAGGGGAAAAATGAAGTTATATTGTGTTTGAAGTTTCCACTCCTATGTGATTATAACCACTCAGCAAATTGGTTAGGGTTTTGTTATTCACACCTTACACAGCAGAGGTTATCTGGACAGTTTCCTGATAGAGAAGGGCTGAATGGAAGCTTTAGTTAACAAGCTAATTTCTGGAGAGGAGAAATGGTGCCTTTAACTTATGTTTTCTCCTGTAAATACAGCTCAAGGATTACAGATCAAGTTTGGTCAAAACTAAAAGAGAACCTCTCATTCTACTATACCATAGGGAAAAAATATTTGTTGAGAGACTTTGGTCTCCTTCCAGTTCAGCTTTTCTTTTTGTATCTTGTATAGAAGAACATTATAAACCAGTATTAAAAGCTGAATAAATGGGGTGCCTGGGTGGCTCTGTTGGTTAAGTGACCGACTCCTGGTTTCAGCTCAGGTCATGATCTGGGTCATGAGATCCAATCCAGTGTCGGGCTCCACGCCCTGCTCAGAGTTTGTTAAAGACTCTCCCTCTCCCTCTGCCCCTCTCTCAAATAAATAAAATATTTGTTTATAATAAAAGATTTATTTGAGAGAGGAGAGAGAGGCAGAGAGAGAAGCAGCCTCCCTGCTGAACAGGGAGCCCAATGTGGGACTACATCCCAGGATCCTGAGATATCGACTGGAGCCAAAGACAGATGCTTAACTGGCTGAGTTACCCAAGCACTCCTGAATAAATAAATCTTTTTTTTAAAAAGGCTAAATAAATACTTTAAGTATCATTTAATCATGTCTTAGGTACCCAAGATGAAATTCCAGGTAACTCTTGAGTCCTAGGACTCAAAGGAGCCCATTTCTTTGAATACATTTTCTTCCTTCATTGTTTACAGCTGTATGTTCCCTTTACATGTTGGGCAAAAGCAACCAGGAACAAGAAGAATTCTTCCTTTTGACTGACTAACCAAGCATGCCAAGTGTCTACATACTGTTAAAAATTCCATCCCAGGCTTCCCCTTAAAATAACTCATTTTAAGCACCTAGTAGCAGTAACAATGGCATGAAAATATATCAAACATAAATCCAAATAAGCCAAAAGTATCAACTGTGGTTATTCTTAATTAATTCCTGAATTAGCTTATGAATTTTTAAAACTTTTTCTTTAGTACTTCCTAAAATTTCTCCCATGAGCATGTGTTATTATTATAGCCAATAAAACTGGAGTGCTGCCTTTTTCTTTTAGTTGTCCAATATTAGAGCCCGGGCTATCCGTAAGGTACATAAAATAGATGTCATCCATTCCAGAACACAAAATATGAGTAATAAAGTAACATGCTACTGTTGCAAAACAAGAGTAACAGAAATTATTTTCCTATGCACTGTTCACATAATTTAAAGAAAAAAAATTAACTTCATCTAATTATTATTAATCTTTAAATTATTATTTTTAGGGGCACCTGGGTGGCTCAGTGGGTTAAGGCCTCTGCCTTTGGCTCAGGTCATGATCCCAGGGTCCTGGGATCGAGCTCCGCATCAGGCTCTCTGCTCAGCAGGGAGCCTGCTTCCTCCTCTCTCTCTGCCTGCTTCTCTGCCTACTTGTGATCTCTGTCAAATAAATAAATAAAATCTTTTTTAAAAATTATTATTTTTAAATTTTTAAATTATTAATTCAGAACCTGGGTTTTTTTTTTTTAAGATTTTATTTATTTACTTGACAGAGAGAGATCACAAGTAGACAGAGAGGCAGGCAGAGAGAGAGAGAGAGGGAAGCAGGCTCCCTGCTGAGCAGAGAGCCCGATGCGGGACTCAGTCCCAGGACCCTGAGATCATGACCTGAGCCGAAGGCAGCGGCTTAACCCACTGAGCCACCCAGGCGCCCCAGAACCTGGGTTTTAAAAATGAAAACTATAATAAATATTTTTCTAACCTAATAACCTACTGACCCAGTGACCTCCTTTGGAATTCAGGTTAAATCTGATATCACAGATATATCTGGGATGGTTTTATCTATTAACATTAATTAAAAGTAATGCTGAAATTTAATTGAGTGGTATAATACAGAACACAAGCAATAGCCCTTAACAATGTTTATCACCATTTATGAAAAATCCTACAGACTGCTCAGGGTTTGTGTTATAGGTAAAAAGATAATTATTCCTAAGAAAACATATTAACTTGTAAAGATCCAAATACTTTTTAAATTGTTGAATGTATGAGTAAAGATGAAATTAAACATTCTCAACTTAAAAAAAAAATAAAGAAATCATCAACATAATTTATAACATATCCCTGATGTGTCTGGCAATGCCATTGCAAATTAATGATGAGAAAATAAGATACCATGTTAAGTAATCCTGATTCCGCCTTTACTACTACTATGCTCATTGAAAGCCTTAATTTCTTAATTTTCCACCTAATTATTAATCAAATGAAGATCTGTAATATTTTAAATGTTATTTTACATCAAATCCAATAGTTATTGAAGAGAATACAGTAAACCTCAGGGGCCCCTTGGGTGGCTCAGTCAGTTGAATGCCCAACTGTGGATTTCAGTTCAGGTCATGATATCTGGGTCCTGAGATTGAGCCCTGAGTTGGGCTCCACACTCAGCAGGAAGTCTGCTTCTCTCCTTCTTTCTCTGCTTCCTCCCCACCCTGCTCACTCGAATGTGCTCTCTCTAAAAATTAAAAGAAAAAAAAAACAAAACACTTCTGGATCATGTTTGAGGATCATTACCAGCACTTGTTTGAGACTCAGCAAGGGACAAATTGTTGGCATCTTATTTTAGCAGAAGAGGTATACAGATTACACACATTATTGGTATTATAAATTTTAGAGTTCTTGGGTCTAGGTACAAGTTGAAAATCCTTATTGGACAAGGTCAGGTATTCTAAATTCTAGAAGGGTACAAGAAAGGCTAAGGCCATTTTTTTGCCAAAACTTGTTGGTAAGCAGGTTTCTCAAGGGTCAAATTTGGTAGGATTCAGTAAGTGGAAGTCCATCATTTCCTGAATCACTGTTGAGCTATTTAAGTACCCTGTCTGGCGTTGAGGGGAATTTTCCACACCCAGTTTTATTGAACTCGGGGTAACATGACAAAAGCCAGAGAACCAATGCCACATGCAGCTGGTTGGATACTTTCCTAGACACAGTGGTAACCCTCATCAGTTGTCATGTATGTGTGAGGGGATATAATGTTTTCCTTTCTTCCCGTCAAAGATTTGCACAATTTCGAATTGTTCTTGGAGATTTCAATTTTGCTGGTATTCAGCAAGCCAATCGTATCCTGGGACCCATTTACTTCATCACTTTCATCTTTTTTGTGTTCTTTGTCCTGCTGGTAAGTATGACCATATATGTTCCCTTTTTTGCTTATATTTTTTAGAATAAAAAATGAAATTATTAATTTAGAAGAAATTATAGTATCACTGCTGAGCTGTCAGAGCTTTTTACATTTATTAGGAATTGTGTGGGTTCCTTGAAATCCAGGCTAAATCCAGTGTCTAAAATGTTTTCAATTTGTCCACAAGAGAATGTGATCACAGTAGTTACCATCTTGGTGTCTGACATGTGCCAAGAGTGTGCACACCTTCTCCGAGTATAACTTGAATATCCCAGGCCTGTCCAGCCAGGACATTCCATACTGGCAGGGATGAATATATTTGGCCCATATTGCAATGGCTTCTAGCCCTTACAGCTAAAAGCTCAGACCTTTGTGATTTTTAGGAATCTGCAGGATGGGTCTTTCACACGTGCTCAAGACAAATTTATGTGGCCTCCCGAACCAGGAAAAGTTGCTTTCCTAGTCGAGGCACTGCTACTGTCCTCCTTGAAAACCCTTTTGTCAATACATAGCAGTTATCCCCTTGTGGTGGCCAGAAGTCCTCACATTGGCAGAGCTGGGCTTCAGTGAAAGGTGGAGGTGGCCTGGGAGTAAGAATACCCTCTCCGCAATTGTTTGTATTATCCGGACATAGTATTCCTAAGAGCCCTGGTAAAACTGTGCCTTTAAACAGGTTTATAAAATTAAAAAAACAAAACAAAACACTCTTACAAAAATATACTTATTCTGTTCTGATATGCAATGTTGACCAATTAGTGTGTGTATGTATATGTGTATATATTCATAGATATATATTAGTACCCAGTTCATATGCATTATTTTACATTGTTTTTTCTCATTTACCATAAACATAGTTGCTTATATCCACACTATACATTTCCCATTCTACTATGTTATAGTCTGCATAGCCATTTCTCTGTTACTGAGCATATGGGCTACTTTTAAAATTTAAATCTAATTTACAAATCACAGCACTTAGGGCTCCTGGGTGGCTCAGTAGGTTAAACGTCTGCCTTCAGCTCACATCATGATCCAGGGCCTGGGAATGAGTCCCACATCAGGCTCGTCAGGGTGTGCTTGACTCTCTGCCTCTGTCCCTCTTCTCAGCTTGTGCTTGCTCGCTCTCTCTCAAAAAACAAACAAACAAATCCCAGCACTTATCAGTCACTAACATTTAAACTAAATTTTGGGGCACCTGGGTGGCTCAGCTGTTAAACGGCTGCCTTCGGCTTAGGTCGTGTTCCCAGGGTCCTGGGATCAAGCCCCGAATCGGGCTCCCTGCTGAGCGGGAAGCCTGCTTCTCCCTCTGCCAGCCGCTTCCCCTGCTTATGTTTTTCCTCTCTCGCTGTGTCTCTCTCTGTCAAATAAAGAAATAAGATCTTTAAAAATATATAAAATAAAATTTTACTGAAATAATTGTGATTATTTCTCCCCAGAACATGTTCTTGGCAATTATTAATGATACATATTCTGAAGTGAAAGCTGATTATTCAATAGGCAGAAGGCCAGATTTTGAACTTGGTAAAATGATTAAAAAGGTATGTCCAATTCTTTTCCTAATTTGAATGCTAAGACAAATCTTGTTCGGTTTATACTCTTGTCGTTTAAATAGCACTTAAACCCCAAGTAGTGGTGGGGGTTTTTTGTTTTGTTTTGTCTAGGTCCAGTCGTGCTTTTATTTGTATTATTTCACTGCCAGGGAAGTGAGATTTCTTTCTGGCTTTAAAAAAGGTGGCCAAACCTATTTCAGATTTCAATGTATCAAATAGCAATTGAGCTGTTTACTAAATGCAAAGCAGCGTTGGGTTTTATAATAAAACTATCCTTTTCCTCCAAAAATGTTCAACTTAGATCCTAGAAATTTCTATAAACAATCTTAACTCAGAACTCCATGGGCCTTATCTTGCTCACTTTCATGTTTCTGTTAATAGCAACACTCTTATCAGTCACCCTGGGCTTAAAACTTTGAATTTTTTACTCCCTGACACTCTGTTGCCAAGACTTGTGTGTCAAGTTCATCTCTGTGGTTTTTGTTCACATTTCTGAGATTCAAGGTCGTGCTGATTCTAACCGCCACCACTGGGTTAGGGCCCTTGGTACTTTTCCCCAGCTTGTGTGGTAACCTCTTCTGGCCTCTTTCCTGTGCCATCCCAGCCCAGATATTACTTTTCTGCTCATAGTTCTTCAGAGTTTCTCTGGGCCTGTTAAAGAAAGTCCAAGTTCTTTATCCAAACACTCAAGGACCTTCTCAAATCTCACAGTCCCAACCTGTCTTTATTCACGATCACTGAACTATGTAGCATGTCTGTCTTCCATGCGCCCGTGGACAGCATGGTGTGTCCCAGCCAATGTTTGACCACAGAGCTGTGCACCATCACTTGCTGTTCCTCTCCCCTCTGGGCTTCTACTTATGTCACTCACTGACCCCAGCAATGTTCCCCCTTCCCTCGATGACCCTCTGTTCTCCCGGATAGAGTGGCATCTTCCCTGTCCTCTCAACAACTACCTCACTTGAGTTTTCAGCAGAGTCACGTGTGTCCCATCTTGCTCATTTCTGCACAGAACTGGCTCTAACCACATCACTTCACACAGGAAAAGTCCTAAGAGCCACCAGGTGACTGGAGCTTAAAAACTCTGTCCAAGAACTCACCTGCAAAAGGAAACTATTAATATGTCCCCCAGTGAGCTGAAGTGTAGGTTTTTTCATCTTTTATCTCTTGATTATGATGCTGGTTATATGCATTAAAGTGTTAACATCCTTAAATGCAATAAATATTAGTAAAACTTTTCAAAGAATTTTTTTTCCGAGTTCAAGTGTGATGCCTACAAGAGAACCCTTTTCTTTTTCACTAGCAGGCAGAAAACATAAGCAGTGACCAAGTGAAAGAAAGATAATCATAGCACTGCCTCCATATTTCTTTATGGTAGTAGTCCCTAGAGACAGGCATTCCATATTTCTTATTCCTTGATCAAAATTAATACAGTATATATATTTGTTCAAATCTTAAACTACTTTTAATTATGCCCAGAGTTACAACAATGCTCTTGAAAAACTGAGACTAAAGAAACCGGAAGAGGATGAAGACAAGAAAAAGTAAGATGACTTAAATTTTTAACCTGGCATTTCAAACTGTATATTATATTAGAAACTCACAGTGTGAGTAAGATTCTGATTGCAGAACTATCACCACCCAGTGTGCTGATTCTAAATACGTTGTTGATGCATCATCCAGTAGTAACTCCTAATTCTAAGAGTGCCATGAGACTCCAAGCTAAGCTAATTAAAAATTAATCTAACACATGTCATGCCACTCAGTAAAAGCTTTAACAGAAAGCTGGACAGAATACAGACCCCCTAGAAGGTAGGAAAAAATTTTAGTCTGCATTAACTGCATTCACTTAACTATCAAAATAAAAAAGTTTTACACAAAATATTTAAGGATACCTTCATACCTGCAGAATCATTTTGGTGTCAAAATGCTTCCAAAACCCAGGCCTCTACCAGTGGGACATAATATAAACATTTTTTATAGCTAGAGATGACACTCTTAAGAACTTACTAATGACCACATTTTCCAAATAATTAGTATTATCAGAAGGACCAAAAATGCAATGCAGACACTTACTATAGAGCTGATCGTATTTAGTGCTGCATTTCCCTTTCCACTGTCATATGCCTGTGATTTTTATTTTATATTGTTAGTGAGAAAAGCGGAGATTTGGTTGAGCGAGCCAGAAGAGAAGGCTTTGATGAAAATGTAAGATTTTAACTTTCTCATAAGGATAGCTTTATTAGAAATAGGCCTACGTAAAAGTTCTGATTAAGAATTGAAATGATTTGTTTTCTTTAGAGCAGTAGTTGCCACCTCCAAAAATTTCTCCCAGAATCCAGCTGTTTTGTTGTTTAGAACAAGTTATTTCAACCCTACATGCTACCTCTCTTATTGTTGCTCTCAGCCTACACCCTGGTCCTCCAGCTGTAGTCACTGTGGGATTATCACATAGGGGTCAGTGAGTATACTCTATTGACATGATCATGTAATTTTTCTCTTGTAATCATTAATGTGATGAATCACTTTAATGTTTTATACAGTTGACCCTTGAACAATGAAAAGCTTATGTTTACAGTACTGTAAACAAAATCCATGTGTACGTGGACCCATGCAGTTCAAACCTGCATTGTTCAAGAACCATGTTGCTGAACAACAGTTTGAACTTCGCGGGTCCAGTTATATGAGGTTTTGTTTTTTGTTTTTTTTTCAATAAATACAATGCAGTATTTACTGTAAATGTATTTTCTCTGCCTTATGATTTTACCAGTAACACTTTTTTCTCTAGCTTACTTTATTATAACAATACAGTATATAATACATATACAGAATATGTTTTAGTCGACTGCTTATGGTATTGGTAAGGCTTCAATCAACAGTAGGCTATTAATTGTTACATTTTTAGGGAGTCAAAAGTTACACACACATTTCTGACTGCACAAGGTTCAGCACCCCAGCCCCTGTGTTGTTCAGTGTCAGCTCTACATGGAGTGGAGTGAGGTTTCTCACTGTGAGATAAGGAAGTTACAAAAAGAAAAGGTTGGGGCACCTGGGTGGCTCAGTGGGTTAAGCCTCTGCCTTCAGCTCAGGTCATGATCTCAGGGTCCTGGGATCGAGGCCCACATCGGGCTCTCTGCTCGGCGGGGAGCCTGCTTTCTCCTCTCTCTCTCTATGCCTGCCTCTCTGCATAATTGTGATCTCTCTCTCTCTCTCTCTGTTTCAAATAAATAAATAAAATCTTTAAAAAAAAAAAAAAGAAAAAAAAAGAAAAGGTTGAAGGTTAAAATAAACTTTGTGGTGTTGGATTAGAATTGTAGATGTGTGTTAGTGTGTGTGTGTGTGTGTGTGTGTGTCTGTATGTGTGTATTCTATAGCTCTATCCACTGAGAAGTCTAGAAGTAATAAGAGTTAGTTCCCCAGACCTTGGTTTCCAAATACCATTCTCTCCTAAAAAGGAAGCAGGGCCCCTTGGAGATATAGCTAAATTCCGGGGCCGGAAAATACAACATGAATCTGGAATACCTTGTTGAGTCAGAGAGTAAAAGTGTTCAAAGAATAATAAAGATGTGTTAAAAGGACGCAAGGATCACATTCAAGGGCACTCACTCACCAAATCTGGGAATATTTAAGAGCTATAATGAATAATAACGGAGAATCCTTTTTAAAAAACTATTAAACAATTCTTGAATCAACTAGGAAATGCAAAATGAAATTGTAGAATTCTTATAAAAAACACTAAAAACACTATACAGCAGAATCTATGAGAAAGTCAAATGCCAGAGGAAAATCAAGAGCCTTAAATTTATCAATAAAAATCAAGACTGAAAAACTGATTTTAGCATGTAACTCAAAAAGTTAGAAAAGAACAATAGAAAAAAAAACAGAAATAAAGATAAAAACAGAATTAATGAGTGGCAAATACAAAGTTGTATAAATAAGTAAAATGGCTGGTTCTTTGAAAAGATGAGTGGGAAGAAACTACTAGCCAACAAACATGGAATAAGAGGGAGAAAGCATAAACATGCATAGTAAGAAACTGCAATGGGAGAAATCATGAAGAAACAAGTAACTGGAGAAAGAAGAAAGCTGGAGGTGTAATACACCCTGATTTCAAATTATATTGCAAAGATGTTGGGGCATCTGGGTGGCTTAGTCAGTTAAGCATCAGACTCTTGATTTCCACTCAGGTCATGATCTCAGGGTTGTTAGATCAAGTCCTGCATCTGGCTCTGTGCTGGGCATGGAGCCTCCTTAAGATTGTCTTTCTCCTTTTCCCTCTGCCCCTCTCTCAGCCAGCTTGTGCTCTCTTTCTAAAAAACAAGAAAAAAAAAAACGACAAAACCCAGAGCTTTGGCAATCTAAGCATCTGGTATTTGCATAAGAAGAGACACAAAACTAATGGAATAAACTAGAGAGTCCAGAAATAAACCCTCGCATATATGACCAATTAATTTATGACAAAAGTGCCAAGAATTTACACTGGGGAAGAGACAATCTCTTCAATAAATGGTGCTGGGGAAACTAGAGAACCACATGCAAAAGACCAAAACTGGACCAATATCTTACATAAAATTAAAACAAAATGGATTAAAGACTTGAACATTAAGACCCAAAACCATAAAATTCTCTTGGAAGACAACATAGGCAGTAAGTTCCTTGTCATCAGTCGCAGTGATGATTTTTTGGATCTGAAACCAAAAACAAAGGCAGCAAAAGCAAAAACAAAACAGACTACAGCAAGTTAAAAAGCTTCTGTGTAGCAAAGGAGACAATTAACAAAATGAAAAGGCAACCTACTGCATAGAAGAAAATATTTGCAAATTATGTATGTGATAAGGAGTTGCTATCCAAAATATGTAAAGAACTCATACAACTCAGTAACACAACAAAACAATCCAACTGGAAAATGAACAGAGGATCTGAATAGACATTTGTCCAAAAAAGACAGAGATGGTCAACAGGTACATGAAAAGTTGCTCAACATTACTAATCACCAGGGAAATGTCAATCAAAACCACAATGAGCTATCACCTCCACTAATCAAAATGTCTGTCGTCAAAAAAACAAGAGATATCAAGTATTGTCAAAGATGTGGAGTAAAGGGAACTCTTGTGCACTGTTGGTGGAAATGAAAACTGGTGCAGCCACTGTGGAAAACAATACGGAGGTTCCTCAAAAAGTTAAAATTGGAACATACGATTATCAGTAATTCCACTTCTGGGTATTTATCTGAAGGGGATACAAATGCTTAATTCTAAGAGATATCCAAGCCATGTTCATTGCAGCATTATTTAGAATAGCCAAGGGATGGAAATAAGTGTCCATCAATGAATGAATGGATAAAGAAATGGATATATAGAGAGGAATATTACTCAGCCATTAAAAAAAGGGAAATGTGGCCACTTGCAACAATATGGATAAATCTGGAGAACGTTATTTTTTTTTTTTTTAAGATTTTATTTATTTATTTGTCAGAGAGAGAGAGGGAGAGAGAGCGAGCACAGGCAGACAGAATGGCAGGCAGAGGCAGAGGGAGAAGCAGGCTCCCTGACGAGCAAGGAGCCCGATGTGGGACTCGATCCCAGGACGCTGGGATCATGACCTGAGCCGAAGGCAGCCGCTTAACCAACTGAGCCACCCAGGCGTCCCACGGAGAACGTTATTTTAAGTGAAATAAGAGAAAGATAAATACTGTATGATCTCATATGTGGAATCTAAAAACAACAAACAACAAAAAACTGAACTCATAGAGAACAGACTGGTGATTGAAGAGGAGGAGGGGTGGGGAGTTGGTAAAATGGGTGAAGGTGATCAAAAGGTACAAACTTCCAGTTATAAAATAAGTTCTGGGGATGGATGTACAGCATGATGATTACAGTTAATAATACCATATTATAGGGACGCCTGGGTGGCTCAGTTGGTTGGACGACTGCCTTCGGCTCAGGTCATGATCCCGGGGTCCCAGGATCGAGTCCCACATCGGGCTCCCAGCTCCATGGGGAGTCTGCTTCTCCCTCTGACCTTCTCCTCGCTCATGCTCTCACTGTCTCCCTCTCAAATAAATAAAATCTTTAAAAAAATAATAATAATAATACCATATTATATATTTGAAAGTTACTAAGAGAGTAGATCTTAAAAATTCCTATCACAGGAAAAAAAATCTGTAACTGTGTAGTGATGGATGTTAACTATTAACTACACTTACTACAGTGATCATTTCACAATTTTTACATATACAAAATCTTCATGTTGTACCCTGGAAAAAAATCACTAAGAGACTTTTTTGTATAACTCTATGCAAATAACGTTCGAAAAACTGAATGCAGTGGGTAATTTTTCTCTGAAAATAAATTCACCAAATCTGAGCCCAGAATAGAGTTTACAAAGGCTAAACAAATCTACTCTGTAGAGTAGTATAAAGTCATCAGAGCTACCTGAAAAATAAATCGGGCCCAGAATGCTTCACAAAGGAATTTTATCAGATTTGTAAGGAATAAAGAGTTTCAATCTATTTAAACTGTTCCAGAAAAAAAGGAAAAATGGAAACCCTCCAAATTACTTTTATAAAATGGCTATAGTCATTATGTAAAATGACTATATATGTGTATGTATATACATACACACATAAAAATAACTATATATACACACACAAACACATATCACTTCCAAATTTTGATCAGAAATCCTACATAAAGTATTAGCAACAGAATCTAACAAAACACAATAATATATCACGATTCAACAGGGTTTAAAGACTGGAAAAATGGTTTAAAATTGGTAATCAACTAACATAATTTATTCCATTAACAGATCCAAAAGGAAAGTTGCATGATCATTTTCCACAGATGCTAGGTATTTGATAAGATTGAGCATCCAATCTTAGGGGGACAACAAAATAAAAAACAGAACAGAACAAAACAGAAATCAATGGACACTTCCTTGATATGGTGAAAACATATTTATTTCACCCCAAGCTAGCACCTTACTTAACAGGGGAACACTGGACATGTCAGGAACAAGAAAGGATATACTGGAGGGATCAGCCAAAAACAATTAAGAAAAATAAACTAGAAGTGTAAGAATTGGGAGAGAAGAGATATAAACAACATTTACTTGACATATGATTCTTTTAAGTTTCCTAGGTATGCATGTTTCCTAGGTATTCAAGTACAAGAATTCAATAAAGCAATAATAAAAAATAATTTACATAGTTATGTCATATATGCAAACACCAACCAGTTCATTAAAAATTATAATACTCTGTAATAGCAACATAATAGAAAATGCAAAAATAAAATAAAAACAAAATAGAAAAGAATTAATGTGTGTTTAAAACCAAGATAAGGAAATTTAAAGCATCCTTTAAAGACACAAAAATACATTTGATCAAATATGAATATGTACTTTCAGTCAGGACCTAATCAGGAAAATGGAATACACATTATATATTTTTTATTTATTATTTTTTCTTTTTTAAGATTTTGAGAGAGAGAGAGAGAGCACAAAGGGAGAGTGAGAGGGAGAAGCAGACTCCACTGAGCAGAGAGCCGAGGACCCTGAGATCATTACCTGAGCTGAAGGCAGATGCCACCCAGATGCCCCACATTATAGATTTTAAAAAGAAAAAATTTACTATAGGGAACTGGTTACATGGGCACTGGCAGGCAGAAAAAGTAAAAACACTGATGCAGCTCATACTGTAGGAAGATGCTACCACACCCAAGGCTAAATAAGGTTGCAAAAGGTGAAGTTATCTAAACCTCATCTTAAAGTAGGAGGAGCCTACGGAGCTGTTGTTCAGACCTCTGCGGGTAATCCCCATCGCAATCCTGCTGCTACTGTTTCTGAGGGAGTATGATGAGCCTGGTTCTGGATATGCCCAAAGACCTTGGACTGCTGTAGCCAGGTGCCAACCACAGCTGCTGGCGAGGACTACCATTTGCAGAAACAATGCTGAGAGATGAAAACCCAAATCCTTCACCCTGCCATCCTCCACTAAGGCAGAACCTAACAAGCCAGTAGCCAGAGTCTGGGGAAAGAGGTTTGTGAAACCGGAGACCTAGCATCATAGAGCATAAAAGGGCAAATTTTGAGTTGAGAGAAATCAGCTAAATAGTAGGTCCAGAAGACCCTTTTGGCTATTTAGTATACACATTTGAACTTGCATAAAATGACATTAACTATTTTTCATGGTTCCATCCAATAAAGTAGAACTATCCTTTATACAAATGAAGGCACTTTTATCCTCTCCCCTGAAAGGAAGAAGCAAAATCCCAACAGTAATTGTGTCTATCTCTGGGTGATGTTAAGACCTTTCCTAATGATATCACAATTCCTTAAGAACTTAATGTTTAAAACTACATATACCCTGAGATCAAGAGTTGCATGCTCATACCGACTAGACCAACCAGGCATCCCTAAACTACAAAGTTTATTTCAGGACATAAAACAGGCATCCCCCAGAGAATTCCCTGGATACCACATCTAGCCCTCTCTGCACTTGTTTTGCAGCAACCAATTTTCCCTTGGTACTCAGTTCAGGGAGTACCTGTTTGCTTGCTGGGTCAGCAGCCTAAGGAATGTCAAATGGCCAGATGGTAGTCTCACATTCTTAGTTATTATATCCCCTGGTGCAAGCATACTATCTCTGATGTTGGCTACCAAATAGCACAGCCACTGTGAACACTAAATTAATGCAGGGACAACAGTAAGTGACAGCTAACATCTGTAGGGAAGAGGTGAGGTGATTAGAACTTGAAACTTGGGAGAAAATGCCCCCAGAACTGCCACCTTGCTTTTAAGAAAGGGTGCCACTTTCCTGTGGACATCAAGGCAGGCTTCACATAGTGATGGTTGAGATGGTTTTTTTAAAGGATGAGTCAAGTTTACTAGGCAGTCCATTTAACCCATACATACTATATTATAACAGGCCTGGTCATTTAGAAATAGTTGCATGTTCTACCACTTTAACACCACATTAAAAGTGTGAGTTATGTCAAAACATGAATGCTATAATGTGGCCAAAATAAAACTAGGAAGATTGAAAGCCATCCTTTCCTACTTCTGCTATGTTGGTTTACAGGACAGACACTGTCTGATAGTTTCTCTGACCAAAACGGCACACATTTATCAAATAAAACAGTGTACCAACTTAGGCATCACCATCCTCTCTGGGCAAAGTCATCAGAATCCTTATAAAGGGATCAACTTTGGTACTTCACAGTATTGCTGAAGCAGGGCAGTATGGTTCTGGTTCACTGAGAAGTCTGTGGATCATATCTGGGTGCAAGGTCTCTCTCTCTCTCTTTTTAACATTTATTTATTTATTTGAGAGAAAGAACGAGAGCACAAGCTGGAGGAGTGGCAGGCAGAGGGCGAAGCAGGCTTCCTGCTGAGAAGGGAGCCCAATGTGGGACTCAATCCCAGGACCCTGGGATCATGACCTGAGCCAAGGGCAAACACTTAACTGACTAAGCTACCCAGGCACCCCTCCTCTTTCCTTTTTTTTTTTTTTTTTTATTAAGTGCTGTCCCTATTTTCTACAACATAAGAGTGCATTTTTCCTGAAGTTGCGGAAGTTATTTGAACACTAAAAGGGAAGTGGGTGGTAGTGAGGACAAAACACAGGAAGGACTCTTTAGGACCAGAGACAAATGTAGCAACAAGAATTTTCTGTTATGAGGAACTTATTTTGGGGTCTGTGGGCAGACTACAATGCACAATTGATGCAGTAATCCTGAAAAGGGGACTGGGGGCTGATAGACTGCAGAGGTCTGGCTTTGAAGCAGCTGGGAGGGCAAATACCCACAGACATACTTGGAAATACATTTGCTTCATTACACAGCAGTACAGAAAAGAACAGCTCAGCTTCACCCAAGTGAAGAACAGAGAACATGAGAAATTCAGCTGCAGAGACAGAGGGGAAGAGGCAGTGAAACGAGAACAAGCTGATGATATTTAATTTTAAAAAAAAAAACCTTAACTCTGGTGAACAGTTCTAACATCAAGCCCTCTCAAGTGAATCTGCTGATGCACAGATCTTAAAGCGAGGAAGGGCAAAACTCCAGTGGGGCTCAAAACCACAGCCCTGGAGAGACCAGTTTAAGATGATCAATGCCATGATGCTTGGGTACCAACTATGCTTGTCCTCTGACTTGACAGGAGATTCAAAGTGCAAAGCAGATGAAAAAGTGGAAAGAGAGGCTGGAGAAAAAGTATTATTCTGCAGAAATTCAAGATGACTACCAGCCGGTCACTCAACAGGAATTTCGAGAGTAAGTATATGTTCTAACCAGGGTACCGTGGGATATCCTGATATGGGGACTAAGGCCATGAGTTACGTTTTTTTTTTCCCCTAAAACTAGACCTTACCAAGATGGCACCACTTTTCTCATCTTTTTACCTAACTTTGAAATTAAACAGAAAGCCCAAGACTCTATTTGTTTAAATTTAAGGTGAGAGTGAAACCAATTGTTTTTATCCTTATTATCTCCAAACAGGTACTGCCACTTATATTTGATATGCATAGCAAACACTGTTCTCCAATTTTAGAATAAAAGATCCAAACTTGGCCACACTAGGCATGTTTTAGAAGCTTGAAATACTATCCTCCCACTCCCAAGTACTTCACGAATAACCTGCTGACTCTTTAGGCACAAAGGAATGTTACTCATTCTCTGCTTCCTTCTAAATTATTCTCTAGACTCTTTTTATATGCCGTGGAGCTGGAGAAAGAATTACACTATGTCAGTCTAAAACTAAACCGAGTGATGAGAAAGATTTCAACTCTACCAGCTTGAGAGAAGTGCAGGTGAGAACCTCTGATATGATCACTGAGCTTTTTTTTTTTTTTGGATCATTGAGAATTTCTAACAAAAATTTATCCTTGTGCTATTTACTAAACATGTCCCCATTACAGGTACATTTTAAAAAACACTACACCACCTATCAGCAAACTATCATCAGAGTCTATGATAATCTCAGAAGATTTCTAGAAATTAAGTACCCCTGAATGGGACCTACATACAAGCCATGTGTATTATAGCACGTGTCCAGAGTATACACACAGACATGAAGGATTTTATTAGATTCATTAAATTCTAGCAATGTGAAGATAAAGTGAAAAATGCTGCTGCTTATGGTTCATGGGGAAGATCTCTAATTAATAGGTGACTAAGCAGATAAAGACAGTTCTCCCAGTGTTACCTAGAATATAGAAACTGTTGATTTTTTTCATCACATACCAGGTTCTAACTTCTTCTGGCTACAGATAATTAATAAATACTTAGGATTTTGGAAAACCATTAATGTAAGACCCCAAATAAAATAATCTTACCTTCATTCTTCCCAGTTTGAGGTCACCTAGAAAAAGCTAAAATGTAGAAGACCAATCATCTACAAATATTTCACTAGTATTTTCAAACTGGAAATTCATCCAGAAAGTTCCTAAAGGAACTCATTTGAAGTTTTTTAAAAGTTTTCCTCAACCACTCTAAAAAGCAAAATATACTCTGAAAAATAAAGAGCAAGGTAGGAGTATCAGGGTTATGAGAAGTCAACTTAATGTATAAGAAGGAGGAATGAGGGTACTGCAAAAAGCCCTGTCTGGGTGGTTGGCAAGTTGTGTGAAGGAACTCTTTTAATTTCTTTAGTGGGTTACACAAGCCCTCCTAGAAGAGCCGTATGTTCTCTTAGCCCAAACAACATCATCTGACCATAGTACTCAACTTCCACATTGATGCTCAATAGATGTTAAATCTACCCGCTCCCTCAGGCCAGCCTCTTCTCTGAGAAAACTGTACCTTAAGTTTGCTCAGTAGGGTAATTCACTGCAACAAGAAATGCTGACTGTTCTCCCTGCATATCTTCTCCCTAGATTTCCACACGGCAATCAACAACATAGCCTTTCCTTGTCTTACCAATCCCCAGAGCTGTAGCCAGTCAAGTGGTTTAGCAACCCTGTCGTCCCCCAATATGGTCCCTCGCTGAGGTAACTCAAACAAAGCCTAAGAACATTAAGGCAAGGAAAAACTTAAGATCTTTTTAACATCTAGTGAAAACAAAACAAAAAACATTTACATAACTTGGTTCAGGTTCTTTTATTACAAAAGTCTATACAATGAAGTGCCAGACATAGCAATGCAATTATATTGGTGGTCATATATATCTATATATTACTTGTATATAGATATAGTTTTTACTTGTACCAAAGTAAAACTATCACAAACTGCCTAATTCTACCACCTACTGCTTAACTATGACACACAATACTGTCACATAGCATGTAAGTGCTGCCATGCCACTTGGATCTATTCTACCTGCAGCCAAACATGAACAGTGAATAACCAACACCATGAAGCAGCTGTTAATTCTAAAATGAAACCAGTCAGGCCACTGACTTATAAAAATATGGTACTCATATAGATTTAGCATTATAAAGAAGGAATATATTATTTAAAACATTTAAATAGTGCATATGGACATTTTTGCATGTGGTATATAAAACATTCATATAAAACAATATACAGTGCACATTAAATTTGATGTTTGGATATACTCCCTTCTAGAGACTGAAAGAAATTAAATGCACACTGCATGCTGGATTCAAATCAAAGTGATACTTCTTTTGGCATTTTCAATTTCATTTTTTCTAGGTACACATTATGAATAACCTGGCTGTATCAAAAGGAAACCACAAGAAAAGGGCTGGATTTAGTGCTTTATTCCCCAACTACATGTTCACCACCAATGAACATTCCCTCCCCTCCCCCAAAAAAGGCATTGCACACACAGATGAAATGTGAAATCCTAGACACACTACTTATTATCAAGCTACTTCATGTGCTTACTATGTAAGAGTGCCAGAAGTCTGAGGTTCATGCTTCCCTCACTTGATTAAAGAATGTCACAGAAGTCCCCATTTTTATATGGAACTGTTAATATCAGCTAGTTAAGAAAACCATGCATGAGTCAATGCATGCAAAACATGGGCACAAAGTGAGACACTCATCAATCCAAAAAAGCACCAGGAAAAAAATTAACACTTACATTAAGCCTGACCAGAATATGCTGTTATTGACTATATTCTTAGCTCAAATAAAGTCACCAATCTGTGAAAATGATTAGCAGAATGATACCAGAAGAGTACTTGAAGAAAAGCCATGCAAAGCCAAAGAAAAAAAAGATAAGCTTAAGAGTATATGACAAGGGGCATACCACTACAGAACTGCTTTAAACAGCATGTGACTGAGCAAAAGGGCTCCTGTCAGAGGGTGTTTTCTTTACAGATTTTTCTGATTAAAAAAGAAAAAAGATGCAACCCCCAGAAGGTACACGTACAAGTGCAGTGGTATAGCCCTTGTGAAGAAAAGATTTAATTCAGGCATAATGATTCTTTCGTCAACTTAGGCCCATCTAATTGAACACACAAATCTGAGCCCATCCGTGTTCCTACATAGACATGGCTATTTTCTCACATTATCTGGAGGTGGGTAGGGGGAAAAAAATACAGGATCTGATCCAGACAAATCACATCATCACCAGCTAATAAACAGTAACTGAGGAAACAAACAGAAACTTATGTCCCGTAGGCAACATGTGATATGATTCAGTTCTGTGTAGGATGTGTGGTGTGTGTTTTCACTCTACTATTAAACAAGGTCACTTTTTGGTCTGCCCTCTGTTATCTTCATCCAGGAGCTGTGTGACCACTGAATTGCAAAATTTTGCTAACATACTACCTATGAGAAAGTGTCACTTTGGAAATTAAACAGAAATGTGTTCCACAGTAGGACTTGAAATTTCAGTTGATTTTGGTTTTCTAAGAAAACATAGGACATAGTTGCATATGTGCACATTTATAGGCTTTTCTTTCAAATTTTCAGTCATTCTGTAAGAAAAAGGCAACCGAAGAATTCAATGTGAAGATGTTCCTCTCAATTTTCTTCAGTAATTAAAAAAATAATAAAAATAAAGTTGGTGATAACAAAAAGCTCGTATCTCCAAAGTTCTTGAAGCTGAAAGAATAAAGTACTAGTCTTTTGCTAACAGGGTGTATTTGTAGTACTACAAAACAATGAAGAAAACTGGATGTTTGCTAAAGGTGGAGAGAACAGTCTGTGGTTAATATGGAACACCACGCTCCCTAGAGAGGGTCTACTTACCCTCCCATCTTTCTCTAGTGGCACCACAACCAAGTACAAAATGATACTCTCGGAGTGCCTGACAAAATGAACTCAAGTACCAGCCAACACACGATGATAGCTTCAGGGAATACAACTGATTTTTATGGTGTTTTCAAGGAGCATATTTTTATATGGATTTTGAAGAATCTTGTTTGCTGATAAGAACTTCAAGAAGCCTGAGTTTGGCTTTAATTTTCTTGTACTCCTTGTACTCCTCAAGCACTGGAACACGATCTTCTTTCTGGGCATTCCTAGGGTAGAAAGTAAAATCTGTAATATTCTAGAAATCATCTGAAAAATAAAGTCCCAGAAGTTATCCTAATGTTAGAGACAATGTTACCAAATGTAAATTCAAATAAAAAAATTCCTCTGCAAGAAAGAACTAGCTCCCCCCATCTGCAAGGAATATTCCTAAAATACTTCTGTTTTTGATGAATTTCTCTATTGACAGATTAAATAATGCTAAACTTAACAATGATCATTGCAGAGAACTAGGAAGTAACCAAATATTTTAGTAAGATACACACTGCTAGACTCTGTCAGGTCACTGAGTGTATAGTGGCAGAGGAGTACAGCCAGTCATTTCGTACATTTAGAAGGTACTTGAAAAATGCATTCTTACACTTAGATTTTTTTTTTTTAACCGTTTTTGCCAACTATATAGAAGACTCTCAAAGTAAATAAATAAATTTTGGAATTTTTAACATAGCTACTGGCTTGGTAAGACTACCTAGTTACATACACAGAAAAACTTTTCTAAGGTCTAAGAGAATGCTCATTTCTGGCCACCATCTGAATTAGAATTTATTCTCCCTTTAAAAAAAAAAAAAAAAAAAAAAGCCTTTTTTTTTTTTTTTTAAGAATTTATTTACTTGACAGAGAGAGAAAGAGCACAAGCAGAGGGAGCAGCAGGCAGAGTGAGAGAAGCAGGCTCCCTGCTGAGCAGAAAGCCCGATGCAGAACTCAAACCCAGAACCCTGGGATCCCGACCTGAGCCGAAGGCAGCCACTCAACCGACTGAGCCACCCAGACGTCCCTGTTTTTCTTCCTTTTTTAAAAGAGTTTTACTGGGTCAGCTATGCCCAAGTTAGATAAAAGCACATGCCATACTATATTTTAGAAGCCCACTGTTGATTACCACCCTGTTATACATCTTAAAAAAGGGAAGCCTGGAATGGCCCAACATGCAGCCTAAGCAGCAACGGTCTCTGTCTAAGAATCCACACTAGCTGTGAGAATACCAGTCATGTTATAGGACCCTTTCTAAAAGGAAAAACAGGGGTGCCTGGGTGGTTCAGTTGGTTAATCATCTAACTCTTGATTTTGGCTCAGGTCATGACCTTAGGTTCGTGAGATCAAGTCCCACATTGGGCTCCATGCTCAGCAGGGAGCCTGCTTGGAATCTGCTTGAGATTCTCTCTCTCCCTCTGCCCCTCCCCCTTCTCTCTCTTTCTAAAATAAATAAATAAATCTTTAAAAAGAACAAGAAATAAAAATAAAAGGAAAAAATCTTAATTCACAATTACTTCAAAAAGGTGAGAATGTAGACTTCAAAAACACAATGTAACTGCCATTCAACCAGGCCTCCTAGGACATCTGAAATATTCTATCAGATGTTGCTTACTCTATCTCTGACTTCTTGCCATTAATAGCAGAACTTCAAAGTAAAAAGGTATGTTTTCTACTTTTATTTTCAATGGATTTAATATCCTCATATGCACAATTCACTTCTATTCCTATACATCCCTTTAATTTAGCATATGGGCACCTGTAAGTTCAAGGAGAAAGACGACTCAATTTTTGTGATGTTCAACAAACCTTCCATTCTGTTGATAAAACGCTTCTTCAAATTCCCGTAATGTTTTGCGTAGTTTCTTTTTTTCAGCTCTGGCTTTCCAAAGTTGTTCCAGTAACTCAGGCCTAAAATTTAAATGGGAAATAAAACATTATTCAAAGAACACTGTGATTCTTAGCAGGGGTTCAAACCCTGGCTGCAAACTAAAGTCAGTGGGGAGCATTTAGAATATCCCAATGCCTAATCTACAGCCCAGACCAACTAAATGTAGGAATAGCTGCAGGTAGGGCTCTACATCAATATTGGAGGGGTGGGGGGGATTTTTTCCCAGGTGATCTTAAAGTGAAACCAAGGCTACTATGGAAAACAATATGAGGTTGCTCAAAAAATTAAAAACAGAAATACTGCATGATCCAGTATTTCCACTACTGGGTATTTACCCAAGGAAAACAAAAACATTAACTCAAAAAGATGAATGTACCCCTACGTTTACTGCATCATTATTTACAACAGCCAAGATATGGAAGCAGCCCAAGTGTCCATCAAAAGATGAATGGATAAAGAAGATGTGGTATGTGTATGCACGCCCACACACACACGGAATATTACTTGGCCATAAAAAAGAATGAAATCTTGCCATTTCTAACAAGGAGGAACCTAGAGGGTATAAAGCGAAATGATTTAAGCCAGAGCGAGAAAAACAAATTCCCTATGATTTCACTTATATGTGGAATTCAGAAAACCAAACAAACGATAACAGTTTCATGAATACAGGGAACACACTGGGTGGCTGAGAGGAAGGAGGTGGGCTGGGGTTAGGTAAAATAGGTGAAAGGGATTAGGAGACACAAACTTCCAGTTATAAGTAAGTCACAGAGATGAAAGTGCAGCACAGAGAACATAGTCAATAACACTGCAGTAACATTGTATGTGACTACACTTTTTGTGGTGACCACCGAGTTAACAGAATTGTTGAGTCAACAATGCTGTATACCTGAAACTAATATAAGCATTATACGTTAATTATACTTTAATTTTT